AATGTATAAGGTTACTCCTCTGAAAAGACTGCTTCAGATTGCTTTCCGGTAATGCTAATACCCATTAAAAAGATGAATATATATGTGTGTAAGTCAATCATAAGGTATTAAAGAGGTGCAGCAACTTAAGCTTCTTTTCTTCTTGGCAGGTCACTTTGAGAAATGTCCTAGTTCAATTAAAATATTTTTTCCATTTCCTAGGAGTAGATTCAGATATGCTCTGTCTGTTCTCTATCTTATCTTCACTGTCAGGATTTAAAACAAACCTGAGTGAGATATAAGAAGGATAGTCCAGTTACTTTAGACTCTAAACAAGTACGTATTAAGGGTATATATATGTGTATATGTCTGCATGTTCATCTCGTATATGTCCAGGCTGAATATTTGAGAGATAGAGGTACATTTTTTTAAGACTCTGTAGGTACATTTTCTAAGACTCTGTTTACAATTTTGTAGAATTTAAACTGGGATTAACTGCATTTTGTGTTGTTCAAACATCCATTCCTTCATCTCTGCTTTCAAAATGCTACAGTAGTGACTGGAAAGCATCTAAACTAGAGAAGCATACAAAAGAGAACAAGGTGTCATTTTTTCAGATTAGATTTGTGAAATGAAAGTTCAGATAAATTATCATTTCTAGGCTAGTGTTATGTATATTGCATGTGACATGTAAATGACTAAAAATATTGTGTATCTTAAAAAAGAAATTAAGTATTTTAGAAGAGTAGCATACAACTCAAATATTCATATAATATTCTCAGAAACACAAAGTTGTCTAGTTAGTTACTTAGTTCTGCTTTAAATGCTCTGTAGTTAGCATTACTTTGCGCGTCAGCATTGATTTTGAATGCCAACGGGTTCCTGAAAAAAATCTCCGTTCTTTGATACTTTGGTGGAAAATATTACAGTGCTTTAGGTATAAATGAGCTTTGTGACTGAAGCATGGACTTACTGAAAGGTTCTACTTTTATATTACAATGATCCCGTAAGACCTTCCTCCTTCTTTTACCTTGCAACAGGCCTGACAGCGTTGTGTCTCCTCAGATTATTATTAATAATATGGGTCTTGCAAATTTTTGGCGTGTTTGTGTCTACCTATGGTGTGTTACATTTAAAAATGGAAAATATTTAGATTCAGGTATCGTACTGCTGCAAAATTGTATTTCAGGCTAGCATACATATCAACTTATTAATACAACTTAATAAATAATGTCCACAGGTGATTTTGATTATAGACCAGTATCTGACTGTCAAATGACCTTTCAACGAAAACCTGTTTACTTGTTACCTTGCTAGGTAATGTCATAAAGCATGTGAGTTTGCTTTACTGACTCCTGGGTTTTCTCTTTTACATCGGTTTTATTATCAAATACAAAAATCATTTCTCATATTTTACTGGCCATCCACAATATCAGGTACGAGGAAAAGTCAGCATATTAAGGTGACAATATGCAAACAATATTCAACTTACCATGCATGTGGATATTACTCTGTTTCTCAGTATAGTTAACCAGGTGATTTTAATATAGTTTGTGGCACAGAAAATAAATTAATTCTCCACTGGTCCAACAACAGGTGTACGCTCTAAACAGGTTAGGCTAGATCTCTCATTTTGAAATGGCTGAATAAAGTCTGCTAAAATGTATCCTATTTCAACTGTAGCTGAAACAGCTTACAGTGAAGGACTCTGCTCTCCTCATCCAGAAATACAAAACTTGATGGTTGTTCTTCAGGATTCGGGGATGACATCTGGTAATTCCTGCAGCTCTTAGGAAACAGAACTTACATTCCTACCCTCTCTCAAGTTCCTGTTACTTTCAGTTCTGCTGGTTGTTTTTCGTTTATTTATACTAGTCTGTGTGCTGCTATCTTAACAAATAAAAGATTCTAGACATTTTAAAACACAGAAAACTCAGTGCAGTTTTTCTTTTTTTCTCTTTTCTTTTTATCCCCTAAAGCAAAGGATTATTTTGGTAACATGCGACCGGCATGGGCTCATTTCAGCTTTTTCTATAGTGTGGAATTATTATTGGGATGAGGTCCCTGTGTTAGAGCATCTAAAGACCCTTTACATTGTATTCAATTAAGGGTTCAAAGGAGCAGTTGGACAGTATAAACTGAAAAAAGCCATAGCAGCTCCCCTACTTTCGAGCTTCCCTGTGTATAGGTACTACTTTGGTCTACAGTCTCCATTAACAAAAATAGCCTTTCAGCTATTTTTTGTATGCATCTGGTCTGATGTGCCTGTCTTGTGATATGCCCATCAAAATTAGCGTTGTGTATTACTTTGTTTACCTCTCAGCTCATGAAGTTAATTGATCCACTTTGGAGTCAGAAAATGTTCAGGCAGGGGAAAATTTTGATCAAATCAACCTTGCATGGAAACAACTTCCTGTTTGCCATCTGCAGTGGGCATTGATCCCTAGCTTGTTTGTGCCTTGCATTTGTTATGCATGAGTAAGCACATTAGCCTTTTCGTTTCATTCATTAGGCAGTTAGTCCTTGATTAGTGTTTCCTAGTTTCTGTCAAATATGCTACTACTTCTTTATTCATTTTGTCTTGGGTCTGTCTTTTGCTTCACTGTGTAGAAAATGAGCAGTTAACTACAACAGTAGTCCTTTTATTTCTTTTTCATATAGAACTAGCTAACAAATACACTTTTCTATTGTTGGCACATCTAATGTGGGATAAAGCATGAATGATGGGTCTTTCTAAAGTTAGCAGAGTTATTGTTTTAGTTCAGCTGGCAGGCTTTGTTTAGAAGTGTAATATCTCAGGGTTTACTGTCAGCTTTATTTCATCCGTCTCCAAGAACTGTGGGATCACCTGGATACTTGTGGATATTAGCCTTGTAAAATTGCACATAAAAATAAACTTAAAGTAGTAATGAATGCAGTTTGAGAATATAGCACTGGAAGTTTCAGATGACAGTTTAGATGACAGAATAGAACAATAAGGCATTTTATGACTAACACCAGTCCATTCACTAGGGATTTTTGCTGTCATTTCCTTGTAGAACAGTAAAATGTTAAATGAGAATTCCATTCTTAAAGATAATATAAAAATAAATAAATCATTATGTGGTGTGCATAAAGCAACAAACTATGTACATCTTCTGAATCTATATAACAAGACCATGAATAAAAGTGAATGTTTCAATGGAGTCAGTACATTTAGCGATGCCACCAGCTGTTTTTATTTGATCAGTGACCACAAGTTTTGCCTAAAAATTCTGTAATATGCTACATCCTTATGTAGGTAAAGCATGTGTAAAATACTATGATTTATGCATTGTTTTTATTCATAATCTTAAAAGTTGATTTAAAGATTATCAATCTATCTGAACAATTTTATCTTTGACATGCCATTAAAGTTCCTGCATTAATTTTTTCAAAGTACCCATGAGTTAGTAAACCAAACCTTGAAGGCTGGATCAGTCTGTTCTCTGGAGCGTGCCCTGCTTAAGATTCTAGTAAATAACAAACTATTTAGACATGAAGTGTTGCAGCCATGTTTGATGTTAGTGGGTATCTATATATCTGCATGAAATACTTGCTTGCTTTTTTGAGATTTATATTAATAATTGGTTTAAATAAAAAAGGATTTTAAATAAAATATTGTAGTCAAATTTGGAATCAGCAATAATATAAAATTTAAGTGAAGTATTTGATTTTGGTTTTTTCCTCCAAATTCTAATGCTATTTGTTTGAAAATCCTTTAAAATGTTGCTAGATATAGACTTCATACTGAATCTAATACTTCTGTCAAATTCTTAGCTTTTATATTTCCATAATCTTTAAAGTTGATAGTTTTTTTTCGTATACACAATAGTTGATTACAGCAATAGTTTTATTTGTAGTTTTTGTCAAACTCTATCTACATGGAAACTGGAATTCATTTAAATTTCATACTAATATTACTAAGTCTTCTTGTATCTGTATTCTTACATATGCAGAATTTTAAGACATATTTATTAAATTATTTTCCAAATGGATTTGCCTGTGTTTTTTATCCCTACAAGACTGAAGAGTTGGTAGGTTTTGTGCTCTCACACCTCATTGAATACTTACATGAAAAGATGAAAAAACTTTTTTCTCGCTTAATTCACACTTTGTAAGTTTTTAATGATTAGTATGTGACATAAATGCTACGTGATCTGAAATGAGGAAAATATTATTTTCATACCTGAAAATACCTGGAAAGGAGATATACAAATGTTGTGAAAAGTGATTCTAACACATCACTTCCAGATACTCTATTTTCAGCAACTCCCATCACCACAATGGTTTGATTCTTTTTAAAATGTTAGACACATATACGTATTTCATACTGTTATTTCATTTTTCATATAAATTATTTAAATGTATTATTACCATAATTTACTAAATTTTAAAATATTTTGCTAAAATAAATTTAATTAACAAGTCTTTTTTTTATATTAATCTTTTTTTTCCCCCATATGATTTCACACCCTGATGTGTAGCAAATGGGGCATATCCTGGCATTTATTCCTATTTTCTACCAAATTTTAGTGAAAGCTGTTGAATGACCAGATGCAAATATCAAGCTGTATGCATGTAAAGTAACTCTGCTGAGTCTATGACCCCCCTTTACTAAAGAAATAGATTTCATAGACTTCCTTTAGTGTTCCAACAATAAAGAACTTCATGAATGTTCTTATGGTAAGCCTTCACCAGGTCTGGATGACATTTGCTGTACAAAATTTGAAGACACTTTCAGTAAACATAACTATCATGTCTGATTTGTAAAACAGAATAGTGGATGCTGTAAGAAGTGTAATAAATTATTAAGTTCAGATATATCACATGCTTGGAACAGTGTACCTGTAATCTTTCTAAGTGATAAGAGTATTATAGCTTTTGTGGAAAATAACAGCTCACAGAACACCTTACAAATGATATGCCTTGTTTACAGTTTTGGTCTTCTGATTAGCAATTTTCCTGTCATGATAGATTTACGGTTTTCTTTTTCCTGTTAGGATGCTTCAATTGCCCACAGATTCCATATCATGAGAGAAAAACATCCAGAGAAGTTCAACAGTAGGTAAGAATTTTTTATTACTTGCATATGAAAAGATTTTTTCCATATTATTGTTACATTCTGCGAGGGGTTAAATTTTGCATGTCTTTTAAAATATGGATTCTTATAAAAGAGAGGAAATTCGTACATTTTATGTAAAGTATATGCTCCCAGACTGCCTGTAATGTAAGTATTTTATATCTGGTATTTCAGCTGAAAGGAATAACATTATAAATAAACTGTTCTCACATGCGAAACGTTTGACTTGTAAGACTAGCGTGGACAAGATGATGCATTGTGGTATCTGAGGATCCCTGAATTGACACTTTGCCATTAGGCACTGAAGAACACTTATTAGACAGCTGCAGATGGTGATCCTTATGTTTCATTCCCACACGCGCACTGGTACACTGACAGGGGGCTCTTCCATATATACTCTTAGTAAGGGCAAGTGAATGCCATTTTACACATAAATGCTTTTATCATTAAACAGCTTTGGATATGTAAAAAAGTCAGGAATGAGACTTTGCATCTGTTCCTTGTGTTGCTTTTTGAATTTGCAATGTTATCTCAGAGCTTTTCTGGAGATTAAAAATGTATTACAACATGTACTCTAAATTCACCTTCTTTCAGTATCTGGTTTGTTGAGCAGATAATTTTCATAATGCAATGCTTATGTTTGTTTCTTCTTATTTAGGTAATTTAGCAAGTAAGTTTTGATGGGTAAAACAAACATTTCAGAAATTTTAATGAACATTTAAAGGCACATGGGGAGAGAAAAGTAAGATATGAAGTTATTCGGAATAAACAGGAAATGTCTAGAAATAATTATTAACACAAATGTTTTGTCACTGTGAGCCTACCTATAGACTTCCTTGAGTTTTCTGTGGGGGTGACCTGGGAAGTCTTGCGTAGATGCAACTCTTCATTGACCACAGGTTGATAAAATATGCTGTTTGTGCCGTCATCTTAGAGCTGTACAGAATGATGTTTGAATATGTTCAAATATTATCTAACTTCTTACTGTTTTCATGTTGAAAGTATAAATTTTGTTTTTAACAGCCAGAGACAGGGGCTTTTTTCTTAAATATTCAATCTGTTTAACATCTATGCAGTGACATACTAGGAACCCAAGTGTATGTTTCTTTTTAAGTTCCACAGTAAACGTTTATTTTGTATTATCTCCTCTTCCTACCTCTGATGTTTCTTACTCTGAAAGAATTATACTTTGAAAAGATCTGATCTCAAGCCTGATCTGCACATCCCAATGTATTAAACTCCTTTAGCAGGACTAGAGATATTGGACATTTAGCAAATGCACATATTCTAGGCCTTGAAGATGAAGCTAGTTTATCAGTGGTCTTTCGGCATATTTTCAGCAGTAGGCAATTATAATTTATAAAGAGCTCAGCTAATAACATGAGTTTCAGATCAGATTTCATGTCACAATAAATCATATGCCATTAATAACATCTGCTAGCAGACTCACCTTGAAATTCATCTATATTTTAAGGAACCTGATATTTCTAACATTATCTTAAGGAAATTAATTACAAAAATATATAGTTCCAGTCCCTAGGTGCTTTGGTACTGTGATATTGAAAGAACTTGAAAAATGCGATGATTCTTTGGGTATGGAAAGACTATTCAGGAAGAATATGTATTTCTAAAAAAGAATGTAAAAACTTGAGCAAAGTATTGTAATAGAGACTGATGTTTTAAAATGTTTCTTCTTTGGTGTAGTGAGAAAAAAAAATGTGGATTTCTATTTTTCTTGAATATGATTTGCCACATGATGTTAGTTCACAAATAGTTTGTTCCACTAACAGTTATTTGCGTGTGACAATGCTCCATAATATGTTGCAGCAGCGTTTTCCTGCAGTGTGTGAAAATAAAACCCTTTTTCAGATGTCTGCTAAACCACAAGACTTTATTCACCAGAGTGTGGATTTTTCTGTGCAAGCTAAATGATTTAGGATCAGTAAGTCCAGCTCAAGTCAGATAGCACTTACCTGAAAATCCCATGCTGTCACATGTATCTCCTGTGATTTAAAAAATTAATTCTTTTGTCATTTTGTGTTTTTTTTCTCATGCTTGATTTTTAAAATTTTTGAGCTCCCGCAACTGTCATTAAGTTTTTGGAATGAAAGCAGGTCGTTGCACTGAGGTTCTACTCTAAAAAGGAATGTGTAAAGTTTTCCTCACTGAAGAGAAGTGTGAATTGTATGCTGTGTGCAGAGGTTTTCTGAAACCCAGAGGTGTTGTATTTGCTTCAGTGAAGTAAATTTGGTAAAGTTTGGGTTGGAGAATCTTTGGCTTTAAATCCTGGTAATGATCCTCAAATTTCTGAGGACATTCTTTGACACTGTCATCCCAATTTTCATGTGTAAATAGAGCAAACAAGTATCAATAGGGAAACTCGTGACACATTGTACTTGTCTGTAAAAGCAGAATCTTTCTGTACTCGCCTACCTTCTCAAAGTGAAGATGAGAATATATTACAAGGCTTAGAAGGAATTTTTAATGACTACTAGTCAATATTGTAGGATGCTTTGGAAGTAAGTGGCTAATTATTAGGAACTCTGGCACGTTCTGAAACTGTTCATAGATTTTGGATGCACAGATTTAGCATTGCTGACATTCAAAATAGAAAGAAAGAAAAGTGTGGATTACATACTTAAATGTTTAGGTCTATGGGAAATCTCAAATTAAGTATGTGTAAATACTCATGAATTAAAAATCCACATTATCTGTTGTTTCTTAAATCTTCAAATGACTTAGCAGCTACCTTGTGACATTTCTTTTCAATGAGGCACTTGTTTGTTTCAGTTGCTTATTAAATGGAAATCAAGTCTCTTTGTCAAAAGGGTCTTCTGTGTTCAGAAGCTTAAATTTCACTGAAAATGCTTAACACATGCTTTACTCACTTGAAAATGTTATACTTGTAAGCTGCAATATGGGATGGCTCCATGTTGTTTTCCAAATAAGACTCGGCATAAATATCTAACAGTGATTTTAAAATATTCATTACTTGTTCCTAGAAATGGATCTGCGGGAGAAGGATTTTTCTTCTGGTGATGGGCAAATAGAAAAGAATGGAAGTGAGAACACAGTAGCGTCCCCACCTCTGTCAAAAAAATGAATCCTAATATGCCATTTTAAGTAATTGTATCTTCAGATCATTAGCACACATTATCAGAAACCAGTACTGACATTGCATTAAGATTTAAATGTGTTCATAAAACCCAGAATCTCAGCTGTCACATTACACACTCTACAGGTCTGAAGTGCTGAGAGTCCTGTGCTTGAGAAAGCAGGGTTCAGCTCCCAGCATCTTTTGCTTAGTAGTAGGGTCAGATTTTCTGATTTCAGTGTGGAAGGTCTGAGTTAACCTAAGGGGGAAGAAAACTTGCAAAAGACAGCATTTCAAGTAACAGTGTCATTAAACTAGGACATACTGTTGAAATAACGATGCAGTTAGGCCAAAATGCCCTGCAGGGAGATCTGTGTAAACATCATAGACTCGATGCTGGGAATATCAGATCCATGAGTTGTGTGATTGGAATATGCACAGGGAAACAAAGAATGTGTTCAACAAAAAATAATTCAAGTTGATAACTATTCTAAAATAATATTCAGTTAAATTAGACATGCTAATTTGAATCTTTGGCACCCTACAGCATAAAAGATATTTCATGGTCTCAGTAAACTAAAGTAGGATTTATAAATGGCTTTTACAGTCTTGAGTACATAATCTTTGAGATTTTCAAACATCAGTCTAGTTTCATCTTTTATGAAGAAGAAATCCTAAAGCAGAAAAAGTTCCTATTCCGAATAACTCAATTTGTATCATGTTTCTGACCACCTACTTTTGAGATTCCCTTGCAACTTACTGAATTACGCTTTCATTTTGTGCCAGTATATAAGGAAGTTTTTTTTTACTTTTGTGCAAGTGATCTCCAGGAGAGTGTGTTCTTTTAATGAATATGAGTGAAGGAATTTACACTCTTGTTTTGACCTACATGTTATGTGACACTGGTTTAATCTGGAAAGGCCACAGAAAGAAAAGATAGGAGAAATGGCAAGTAAATGAATCTTTAGCAAGTAGTTCTATGTGTCCCAGCTTGAGTACTGCACTCTACAGTGTAGTTATCATAGTGTTATGTCTTGACTGACCTCAAAAAAAAAAAAAAAAAAAAAAGAAAAAAAATCCTGTCCTGAAAACACAGTTACTGTGTTCAAAAGCTTTATTGTAAAAGATTTCTAATACAGCCTGGCAACAATGAAACCAGAACATAGTTATTCCACTTGAATATTGGAGATTCCCCAAACCATTTGCTGTTGAAAGCAAGTACTAATTCCAGTTTGACGGCTGAGATTAAAAATGATCAGCGTTAACTTTCTCCTGTTTTTTTTTGCGTAAGACAACCTCAGTTTAAAAGCAGAATCATTTGTCATGAGGCGAATACAATGCTCCATTCTCAGATGTGCTTAGCTTTTTTTTTTTTAAAGTTGGCTTATTTTAGCTTTGAATTGAAAAGTCAAATTGTTTCATTTTGAATAGAACAAAACTGTTTTGATATTTTCACTATTCTTCTAGTTTTTCAGTTTAAGTAATGGAGTTTTGTGGCTTGTGCATATTGGTAGTGAATATACTAATCATCAACACAAAATTCCTGACTTGTATTGAAGACATTTCAGTCTCTTTCCTTCAACCTCTCCTCCCTTCCTGGTTGTGACTGAGCTGAGAACGCTTACAAAGAAGACACTGGCCCCACAGAGAGACCAGATTGCAGCCATCTGTTACCTGTCCCATTGAACCCACAGGTATCTTTTCATAAAAGAATAAGACTCCAGGGAACAATACCTCTGAACTCAGGCAGTATTACTGCAATTGTAGTCATCAGAAGAAGCAACACAAGGTGAAAATGTTTGTGATACAGTGTGAAATATTTTCAGATGAGCAGAAGATGGCTTGTAGTTAGACAGCTTACTCTGCTTAGCTCTTGGTTATAATGTTTATA